GACAACCATACAACAGTATTGCTCGTACCTGCGTATCGAAACACCTCATCCTCACATCTGGGGCGAACAACTTTAGCTTATCTAATTTTGCACTCAACGCGAACATAGCTGCTCTAGCTGTGTCATACAACTGCTGACGGCAGGCCCAGAACTGCCGTTCTGGCCCATACACTAACCCCAGATATCGTGCACTATCCTTAGCCGGTATGGCATCTCCAGCCAGCCTGAGCTCATCACACGATGCTTGGACAGCATTTCTAGTATCGCTGTCGCTTGCAAAAACGAGGCGTTCACATTTCGACACATTTGGTCGCATCCCAAATCATCACAGAACACGTCCACAATGTTGAGCAGCTCCCCCATGCGTCCCGGTGTTGTTGCCAGAAGGCTAACGTCATCGGCATAGAGGAGGATGGACACTCACTCACTTCCAACCTCCGGTGCATCCTCTGGCCGTGCCCCGGTGTTAATACCGTCGTGCATATCGATGACGTCCGCGAGAGTTTCAATGTAGAGTCCAAACAGTTGATAATGGACAGCCTTGTTTCACACCCTGTTTTGACTCAAATTCACCTTTAGCCTTGCCATTCGTCTTGATGACCATTGTAACCTTGTCATACGCCCACATCAGTGACCGCAGCATGGACCCTTCAACCCCTCTCTCTTGCAAACGAAGCCACATTATCTCCCGTGGCACCTTGTCAAACGCCTTCTCAAAGTCAATTTGCACAATGATTAACGGCCGCTGTCCCGGTTGGCTGTGCCTAGCAGTTAGGTACTGCTTGGCAAAGAGATGATGTGTAGTACCGAATCCTCTTCTGAAACCCGCTTGGCCTCGGTGCCTAAGCGAGAGCATCTCCCCTGTGCGAACAAGCCTATCCAGGAGGACCAGCGCGTAACATTTCGCCAAGGCGCCAGCTACTGCTATGCCCCGATAGTTACTCGGCATGCTGGGATCCCCCTTCTTGTAAATAAGGGTGAGGACGGTAATTGTAAACTGCCGTGGGAAGTCCCCAGTCGCCCTGATATGTTCCAAAAGCACGTGCAGTACCAGAACAAGCTGATTCACTTCCCCCCGTCGCCTGCCCCTACCATTACCCGTCGCGGAGCCTTCTTCCTCTCGAGGCAAACGCGCATAGCGGTAATATTCTGACGGCGCTACTTTCAAACCTGGTGCCTTACTGTTAGGCAGCCGGTCAACAGCACGTGCGACTTCCTCCAGCGTGCGGGGGGGGTCTAGGATTTCTGCTGCCTTTGCAGTCCTGCCCAAAACCGAGTGGGATGACCGCCATTCCTGCCCCTCTAGGAACTGCCCAAAGTTAATGAAGTTCAAAAGCCGGTTTGCACCATCAGGCCCCGTCTCCCCTACACCTGCGTTTAATAGCGCAGCAAAGTGTTCCCTGAAGACCTCAATATCATCTATCGCACATCGCTCCCTCAACTTCCCTCCTTGAGCCCGCCACAAAGCTCGTTGATCATGCCGACATTTGGCCATGAATAACGTATTTCAACAGTATGCTTATCATTTTTTGCAAGAACTGACTCGAATCTTTGATCGCGAGGGAAGGGGGATGTTTTTGAAAAAACCATAAAACCCTCATGCCATTTTTGAGTTTTAGTTTTTCAACTGCAGGACCTCCGTCCATATCGTTTTGTAGGTAGTCGGATGCTGCATGCTGTCGGATGCTCAGGCCGTGTACGACATTCACACAACAGCATCTGCGGTATGAAAGCTGCACCTTATCGGACCGACGCAAGAAAAACTGGCATCAGTATTATCCTGTCGGCCCTCTGTTGCAATATTTCCATTGCGAGATGTTTTCCTTATTTAATTTGCATTTGCAAGGCGTCATATGATGAGGTGGCAAACCCCTTTGGTGACAGCCAGGGTGTAGGGCTGCAGACACAACCTGTCATACCGTGTTACACAACTTGTGTATTCATATGGGCAGTGCTACAATGTCATCTAATTCGAGTTTGAATATGTGGGGATAGACGAACTCCTGGAACGGCTTCAAACCCCAGAATGTGATCTGTACTTACTTTGTGCAGCATTGTGTACGAGTATATGAGTGGCCTATTAGACAGGAGCCCTACCGTGTGTTGGCTTAGTTAGGAACGACACATCTTGTTGCCGGTTGGTGCACCTGCTGACTGTTGGGGTGACATGGTTCAGAACAGTTCGGAACCTATGCATTCTCTAGGGTCAGAAGATGAGGAATATTCATCCGCTGTGATACAATAGATTAGATACTGGCAAGTACTGGTTACACCAGTAAAAAAACGCAGTGACACATGCCATTTGGTGCTATAAGGTGATAAATCGTAGAACTGACAATGTGATAAAGTGGCCCAGAAGCCTCCCACTCTGTAACACTACATTACATGCCATTTTGATACCTACATACTGCCAGTCATCAGCAGCCATCTGAACATGTGCACACTTTTACTCATCTGCCCAACCCAACACAACAGTACATACTAAAACACCTAG